AGCAGATCTGCAATATAATATCAAATCAGGGATTGTGATGCCCCCTTTCTTGCCTTTGTTGCCCAGAACTGTCTTTGCTATTCTAGATCTCTTCTGGTTCCAAATGAATTTTAGGATTGTTTACTCTAGTTGTGAGGTATGCTAATAGTATTATGATTGGGACTGCACTAAATCTGTACAGCAATTTTGAAGGTATGGCCATTTTCACTGGGCCAAAATTAAAAGATGTCCCTTGCAGTACGGTAGGAAGAACCAACCCTACAGCAAGGGACATCTTTTAATTGTCTGGTCTCCTCTTTGTTCTCCTTTTCAGTGTACTGTAGTTTTCAATGTAAAGATCTTTTACTTCCTTTGTTAGATTGATCCTTAGTTCATTTTTTTTAATGCTACTGTGAAGGGTGTTTGTTTCCCTGACTTCTTTGTCAGTAAGTTTGTTATTTGTATACAGAATGCTACTGATTTTGAGTGCTGATTTTACATCCAGCTGCTCTACTGAATCTGGTTAATAACTCTAGATGTCTTTTGGTGGAGCTTTTGGCATCTTTTATGAAGGGATCGTGAAGACTAAAAAAAGTCAGATACCCCAAATTCAAGAACCAATCCAAAAATGGACACTTGAGATGAAGAGATACTTGTCAGAAGAAGAAAAGTACAAATGGCATACGAAAGAACGTTCAACATCACTGATTATTTGAGACATGCAAATTAAAACTATACTGAGATTCCATCTCACTCCAGAAAGAATGATTATTATCAAGAAAACAACAAATAAGGGCCAGGGAGATGGCTCAGTGGAATAAGCACTTAACTGGCAAGCGCACGGGCCTGAGTTCAATCCCCGGTTCCACAAAAAAAAAAAAAAACAAATAAAAACTGATGGCACAGCTGGCTGTGGAGAAAAAGGAACCCTTCTCCACTGCTGCAGGAAGTGGGCTGGTACAACTACGGTGGAAATCAGTGTGGAGATTCCTCAAACTACTACGATTAGAGTTCCCATCTGACTCAGCTATTCCGCTTCTGAGTCTCTTCCCAAAAGAATTGAAAGCATCATACCACAAATTATATGCACACCCACAGTTCTAACAATACAGTTTGTAATAGCTAAATCTTAAGAGCAACCCAAATGCCCATCAATCAATGAATGGATTTTTTAAATGGATTTTTTATGTAATGGAGTATTAGCCATAAGGATAAAATTGAGACATTTATAACTATGGACCTTAAGACCATAAATCATAAGTGAATTAAGTCATAAACATATGTATAAATACCACATTATCTCTCTGGTACAAGAAAGTAAAATGTAAATAAGTACCTACATGTACCAAAATTCAACAGCATTCCTCTACACAGATAACAAACTCAGTAAGAGGGAAATTAGAGAAAAAAAAAAAAAACCTTCAAAATAGCATCCCAAAAAATGAAATACTTAGGAATTAATCTAAGGAAGTAAAAGATCTATACAATGAAATTACAACCTTCTAAAAAAAGAGATCAAACAGGATTTCAGAAAATGGAAAGATACTCCTTGCTCCTGAATAGGAAGAACCAACACTGTGAAAATGGCCACACAAAACTGTTACACAGAGGCCAGTGAGATGGATTAGTAGAATAAGCGCTTGCCTGGCAAGCACAAGGGCCTGAGTTCAATCCCCAGTTCCGGAAAAAAAAAAAAAAAAAAGGTTACACAGATTTAATGCAATCCCTATCAAAATACCACCAACATACCTCACAGATCTAGAGAAAACATTCCTAAAATTTATTTGCAACCAGAAAAGACTTACAATAGCAAAGGCAATATTAGGCAACAAAGGCAAAGCAAGAGGCATTACAATTCCTGACTTGAAATTATACTACAAAGCTACTGTGATAAAATCAGCATGGTATTGGCAACAAAATAGACATGAGGATCAATGGAACAGTTTAGAAGATGCAGATACAACTACAAACACACTGAGCCATCTTATCTTTGACAAAAGGGGCAAACATGTTCACTGGACGAAAGAGCCTCTTTAACAAATGGTACTGGAAAATCTGGCTCTCTGTATGTCAAAAACTAAAACTGGACCCGGATCTATCACCATGCACGGAACTAAAATCAAAATGGATTAAAGGTTTCAACATTAAACCAGAAACACTAAATCTCCTGGAAGAGAAAGTAGGAGGAACTCCTGAAGACATAGGGGTAGGCAAAGAGCTCATGAACAAAAATCAAACTGCATAGGTAATACCTGAAAGAATTAACAACTGGGACCTCCACTCATTCAGAAGTTTCTGCATGTCGAAAGGAATTACCAACAGAGTGAAAAGACAATTCACAAATTGGGGAAAAATCATAACCAACAATCACTCAAAGGACTTCTATCTAAATTATATAAAGAACTAAATTCAGTACAGTGATCCATATGCAGATGGGGATCCTGCCTGAGCCCCCAAGAATTATATTGAAAAAGTTGTTGCAATATATGATTATACAAAAGACAAGGATGATGAACTGTCTTTTATGGAGAGTGCAATCATGTGATAAAGAAGAATGATGATGGCTGGTATGAAGGAGTCTACAATCGAGTGACTGGTCTGTTCCCTGGGAACTATGTTGAATCAATCATGCACTATACTGATGATTTTTTTTTTTTTTTTTTTTTTTTTTTTTTTTGTCTTTGAAGTCGAGTATTACTCATACTGTGGGACTATTATGGTTAACAGAGTTGTCTTAATGTTCTAAAATGTGCCCATATTTTCAGGACATGCTGTCTACTGGTATATTTGAATGCCCACTGTAAGCATAAATCTTTGTGGCAGTTTGTATTTTGCTAACAGCAATTTATACAAGGGACTGCCCATTAATTATTATGACTATGTACTCAAACATTGTTAACTTTATGACCAGCCTAAATATTCTGGGGAAGTGAGTATATGTAACAAATCATGATTTAGACTGTACCATTACATGTTTCAGTGTAGCATGGTTACTAATGCTATGTCAGACTAATATTAAAATCAGAAAACTGAAAAAAAAAAAATTGATCCCCCAAATTTAAAGATCAAATCCAAAACTGGGCATATGAGACGACTACACATTTCTCAGAGGAAAATGTTCCACAGGACTGGTCATTCGAGAAATGCAAATTAAAACAACACTGAGATGCTATCTTACCCTAGAATGAATGGCTATCATAAAGAAATCAACTAATAACAAATGCTGGAGAGACTGTGGGGAAAAAGGAACCCTTCTCTACTGCTGGTGGGAATGTAGGCTGGTACAACCACTATGGAAATCAGTGTGGATTCCTCAAAAAAACTATCATTAGAAGTCCCATTGAACCCAGCTATTCCCCTTCTGTATGTTTTTCCAAAAGAACTGAAAAATACCATATGTGCACCCATGTTTATAGCAGCACAATATGTCATAGCCAACTCTTGGAAACAACCAAAATGCCTATCACTTGAGGAATGGGTGAAAAAGATGTGATATTTTTATACAGTGGAGTATTACTCAGCTATAAAGACAAACTCAAAGCCTTCATAGGTAAGTGGATGCAACTAGAGACTATACTCAGTGAAATAAACTAGACCCCCATGGGTAAATATCATATTGTCTCCCTAGTGTAAGAACCTGAAACAATAAATAAAACCTGGAAAGTATAATAGATATAGTAAAACCAAAAGAAACAGAAGGGCTGGCCAAATAGCTCAGCGGATTAACCGGAGCTTTGGATACCCTGATCCCCTGGCCTGCCCTGCCAGCCCCACCCCAGGGCCACGCTAACACAGAAATTGATACTGGGCATGGTGGCACAAGCCTGTAATCCCAGCACTTGGGAGGCTGTAAACAGGTGGATCACTAGGAGTCTGATCTAGTAGTGAGACCCTGAACACTCTGTATACCCTTTGCTAAAACACAAAAAAAAAAAAAAAAAAAACTGAAAGAAACGGAACTTAAGGATTAAACAACGAAGATCAGACAAAGAAAAAAAGTAAGGGGGAAAAACATCCAAATATATATACAGGATGGATGAGGTGACTGTATTAAGAATTTCCATCAGTTTTTTGCAAATAGCACTTAATGTGTAGTATTTTCACCTTGACTAACTGTATGCTGATTGTCTATGATCTGAGCAACTACATAGAGGACAGCAATGTGTAATACAAAATCCATGGTTGAATACCTCTCATCTTGGTCTTCTAAATGTGTACCATTTCTAATGTCTTACAAATTATTATACTCTCTTTAAAATAATTTTTTAAAAAGACAGAAAAAAATAAGATTTCTTGAAAGCAAGTGTTAATATTCAATTATTTGTCCAATCTTACATAACTATATCTATTACTCTCAGCAACAGATTTGACAATAAAAATAGATATATCAGCTACTGTTAATTAGCTATTCCTGTGTTGAAAATATGTAACATATATACTGTTGTATGTTACCCTGTTTTTGTTTGTTTGTTTTTGGCAGAACTGGGGATTGAACTAAGTCCCTTGTGCTTGCCAGGGAAGCGCTTATTCCACTGAGCCATCTCCCCGGGCCTTTTTTCTCTATTTGTATTTGCTTCTGTTTTTACTCTTCAAAATAAAATTAGAAAATAAGAACCTAAATGTACAATCATATTGTGACATAGAGAGAAAATGTTCAAAAGGATAAGGAAAATTGGGAGGAGGGAGGGAAAAGGAAGGGAAAGAAAAAAATGAGAAAAGAGAGATAAAATGAAAACTGAGCTTTATGAATGAGGAATAGAAGGAGGTCTGCAAAGAAGGGGTGAGAATAGGAAAAAAAGAGGCAACAAGGACAGACACAAATTTCCTACAATTAAAGTGGTCATTATTGCATACGTAAAGTATACCAATAAACTAAAATTTTTAAAAAATAGATTTCAGGATCATATGTTCAGAACATTCAAATATACACTTTTGGAAATACAAGAATTCCTGTCTTTTAGCACAAAAGCCACTTTTGAGAACAAATAGTATTTTGATTTTAAGTAAGTGATTTTACTTACTTGCTTTCTTATGCAGTAACTTGTGAGTAGCCCAACTTCCTTTAAAACATTCCTAAAAGATCAAATAAGCAAATTAGTGCCAGACCTTCCTTAATTAGAAACATTTTTTAAGTAATGTCATATAATATGATTGCTAATTTTATTTGTAACAACTAAGACATAAGGGTCTGCAAATTAAGTATCTGGTAAAAGCTTAAGAAATGACACCTTTAAACAGTGAAATTTTAAAATAAACTTCAAATAAGAAAGTAAAATTAGTCTACACATTAAATAGTCATAGTATTTCAGTTCTGTCTCACCAAATTATGAGGCATGTGAAAAGATACACTAGCCAATGTACCATACACTGGAAAAAAAAAAAAATTACAAGGAAATGTTAAAAATTCTTCATTTATTCATAGTAAATTGCCAACTAGTGATAATATATTGTCACCCAACGAAACAGTTAGTGTTGTTTCTACATGCCAGCAGTCCACCACTACAGCCCAGACTCAGGCAGAGAACTGTAGTCATGGTGACGTTTTCACTAACTGATCAGAATGGATACTACACCTACCCTGCGCCGGCGGGACCAGTCCCAGCCCAGGCACAGCGTGGGCCGGACCCTCTCCCACCCCCTCGGGCCGCCCCCCACCACTCCAACGTACCTTCCCCACCCCTCCCGCCGAGTAGGAACTTCTGCCGAGTTCCGGGAACCCCCAGACCCAGTCCTAGCCCAGGTCCGGTGAGTGTGTGGAGAGCTTCCTGCTACCCTGCGCCGGTGGGACCAGTCCCAGCCCCGGTACAGCGTGGGCCGGACCCTCTCCCACCACCTCAGGCTGCCCCCCACCACTCCGCCGTACCTCCTCCACCCCTCCCACCCAGTAGGAATTTCTGCCAAGTTCCAGGAACACCCAGACCCAGTCCTAGCCCAGGTCCACAGCGGGAAGGAGCTGAGCACAGCAGCCAGACCTAAGCCAGACGCAGCTGGATAAGTCCAAACTCTGTAGAGCTCCACCTGAACTTCAGTACCTGTGAAGGTTATAACTACAGCAAAGATCTACAACAAAGGGCAGAGGGCAGTGCTACACAAAATGACGAGAAGGAACAAAATGCAACCTCAGAACCCAAGCCCAACCGTAGCAAGTGCAGAAGACACTAACACAGAAAAAATTGGAAATCACACAGCTGAAAGCAATGAATCAACAGCTTCTGAAATAAAACAGCTGCAGAAAGATATAGAAGACCTCACATTGGAAATGAAAAAAGAAATCCCTGAATTAATAACATCTGCAGAAACATATGGAAGCAACCCAGTGCCCACCCAGAACAAGTGCGGAGGACACTAGCTCGGCTCAAATGCATGAATCAAGAGGGTCGATAGTAAATAAGCAACAGCAGAAAGATATAGAGGAAATCAGAGCGCAACTCTTTTCTGAAATAAAAAAAGAACTCTCAGAAATCATAGCAGATGAAGTAGAGAAGCAACTACAGAAACATAAGCAGGAAAACCAATCTGAAAAAAACACTGCAGTAAAAGAATTTCTAACTGCTTCTAAGGAAGATATTGATAAAAAAAAAATAGAGATTAGAAAAATGACTGATTCCTTGAATGAGCAATACAGGAAAGAAACAGATCGCATGAAGCAGAGTCAAAGAGATATAGAGGAAATTAAACTCTCAATCACAGAATGGATACTACAAAGACAAGACTTCTCACTTAGGAAATGTGTTCATGTAATATATTTAAATTACTAGTAACAAGTAAAAAAATAAACTCAATAATAAATTGAAGTCAACAAGGAACTGAAGTAACCAGAGAAATAATTCCAGTAGTTACAGATCTTATTTATACTTGGGATTTTATCATCTCTGCTTCAGAGAATTCCACTCCTCAAGTAAATAATTGAAAATACCAAGAAAACTTACAAATTCCTATAAATTTTGCTTCTTTATTTTTGTGGTTTTTGAGAGCATTTCCCTATGTAGTTCAGACTGGCCTTGCACTCATGAGGATCCTAGTGCCTCAACCTCCCAAATGCTAGGATTACAGGCATGCACACCCCTACTCCCAGATTACAAATGCTTTATCTTTGAACACGTGAAAGAAGATATGGGTAAAAGGGGAAAAAAAAAAAAAAAAGAAAAAAAAGAAACAAGAAATAAAATCCCTAAGATGTTAGTATCAAGCCACATTACACAAGTGATATTAAGGTTGCCCTCCTTAACAATTTATCCAAGGAACTCTGGAGGGCCAGTTTCTCCTTCCTAGGCCAGCATCTTTATTCACGTCCTTTACTCTCCTGTATACACACACACACACTTACAGTTTAGTAAAGAAACCCTGATCATACCTAAGCCTTCCCATACTACAACCTCTAACCTGAACTGACTTCAAAAGTATAAAAAGGTATGAAAAACATTAAAGACATTTCAGTTTTGAAACTGTAACTGAGCTCAGATTTTGGGAGGTGGGAAGGATGACAGGCAGAATAATGGCACCTCAAAAAAATCTATGTCCTTATCTTTAAAAACTGTAAATATGCTCTGTGACAAGGGAGATTTAAGATGATTTCAGTGAGAATGACAGATATCAACCTGTTTTATTCAGATGGGCCAGTATGGTTACAAGAGTTCTTAAAAAGATAAAAGATGGAGGCAGAAACAAAGACACATACATATAAGATGTCACATTACTGGCTTTAAAGATGGAGGAAAGTAGCTGTCAACCAAGGAATATGGACAGCCTCTAGAAACTGAGGATAAAGAAACAGATTTTCCATAGGTCCAGACAGGAACACAGAGTTATTAACAGCTGTTTTTAGCCCTGAGCCCTGCCAAATTTCTAACCCACCAAAATGAAAGAAAATGTATTTGGTTTGTTTTAAACCACCAAGTTTTTCATAATTTCTCATGGTAACCACAGAAAATTAAAACAGGAGATAAAAATAAGAGTTTATTCCTGCAAAAAATGCTCAAAACTGGAAAAAAAAAATTAGTTCTTCCCTACCTCTGTTACAGAGACCTGATAGAAAAACTATTACAGATTCTGCTGCAGAGAGAGAGACAGACAGACAGACAGACACACAGACGGAGAGACACAGAGATATTCAACAGGTGGGAAGTGTCTTCTTCAATATTACCACAGCTATACAAAAATGACAACTCAGTCTTACAGCATAATAATAAAGACAGCACTAACTATAACAATTACCAGTTACTGAATCTCTGCATTCTCACATAAGGCTCCCAAAAGCCCTACAAGACATTATAGACAATTGTGTATGAAGGGATGTAAAGGGCAAATGAGACCTTTCACAACATCTAGTCTTCCTAAATATTAAACAGATTGCCAGATTGTTTTTAATCTTTCTGAGACAGGGTTCCACTATACAGTTCAGGACGGCCTCAAACTCACTTTGTAGCCCAGGTTAGTTTCAAACTCAGCAATCCTTCCTCTTCAGCCTCCGGAGTTCTGGGATTACAGGTGTAGCCACCACACCCGGAATTTTTAGTGATCAGATTGCCAGTTTTGATAAAAGTACTAAACTCCCACTTAGGTCCTCTTTTGTCCCTCTCTTGGACAGTAGTTTTCTTTTCCCCAATAAATATATTCTGCTCTTAACCTCCATTGTTCCTAAAATTCATTCTTCACTTTTAGGAACACCAATTCATAGGAGGTATTGTAGTTTCTTTCCCCTGAGAGTCTTCCACCAAGATAATAACAAACTCTGGATTGGGACTTGGTTAGGTAATGAGTTTTAATATTTCATATTTTTATGTCTTTTGCTCATTGCTTATAATTGTTTATGCTTTGTCTCTTATATAGTGTTGTTAAAATGTGATAAATCTGGGCTGAGGAGATAGCTCGGCAGAGCCTGCCTGGCAAGTGCAAAGACCCAAGTTTGATCCCCAGTACCTAATGCATTGCCGGCCTAGCGCACCCAGGTGCACCATGCTATCCCAGAAATCCCAGACATGCCCTTCCAGCCCCGAAACCGTGGTGGGGCACACCTGTAATCCCAGTGCTGGAGAAGCAGAAACAAGAGGATCACTACAAATTCAAACTGCATGAGCCCCTGTATCAACAATAGCAACCAAAAATAAAAGTTTTAAATGTGATAAATGTAAGTTTAAACATAGGAATGTTATGAGTTTATGATATGTCTTTAATGGGACATTGTATTACTGTTTTGTTCTTGTACATGCTACATTTACTGGTTGAAAAATTTACGGGAAGACCCAATGCTATTATGGGCTACTGGACTCTTTTAGAATATTTTGCTGAGTTTACACACCTATAATATTCAATAATGGAACTTAGAAAA